CAGGGACCGTGGGGGGGGGGGTTGCTTGAGAGTTACTATTAACTCTCAAGTAATCAGAAACTACAGTGGGTGCCGGATAACTGGGAGTTTACTGTATGTGTTTAATCCGCCATTCACACTAGCCACAGGTGTGAATGTGTACAAAATGGCACGATCTGGCACATGTTCGCATAATGCATGAAAAGCTTGTGTTGCACTTGCAAGTGTCATTACTTGTTAAAAAATGCAGAAAGCTCATAGCTCAGACTGCTACATTTGCTTCTTTGCTGCATTTGTCCTGCGTAGGGCAACAAAGGGTGACAAATGCCTCAAAATGCAGCGCACTGGACAGCTCCAGTTCTAAAGAGTGCAATATGTATCGGGATTGTGCAACATTCTTCGTGAGCCGGAATTCCATGTCTGTTAGTAAGAGGCACAAGAGACACGACACCGAGAGAATTGAGGACATTGCAATGGCGCAAGCAGTGAACACGGACTGTAGCTACAATGCGCTAAATATTGGGCGTGGCTAAAAGTAGTGACTGAGACTAGTTCTAGTATCAACTGTACATAGTCCACAGTCTTTGTAACCACAAAATACCCCTTAAAAGAGAACATTGAGGTAACATTTTTATCCCATAGTTCTCTTTAGGGTCACGGGAGGACATATATTAACATCCTCCCAAAGCTCAGTATATAGCGAGCTACAGCTCGCTATATACTGAAAGCGCCACAGCCGGGATGGGTCCCGACAATACTGATCAGATCCAGTATAACAGCAAAAAGTTTCCCAGCACACTCACCAGCCAGCATGCAAAAAAAACTTGTCTACCGCTAAGGTTAAAAACAGAGGTTTAGATACACATCTTCTGCAGAATACGTGAAAGCCGCACAGCCGCGTCAAGGCACCTCTGTGTAGTGCGGTCCTAACCTATGAGAGTCTCCATCTTGGAGCACATGTAGCAAAATATAAAATTGGGTGCAGGTTGGCAGGAAGAAGCCCAACCTCCCTCAAGGTACAGGGACGTACAAGGGACCCCGCATTTCACAACAGCAGCTGAGACCCCCCATGCGCCACTGCACCAAATCAGGAGTATGTCACATCTAGATTGCAAGGTTTAGGAGTATGTAATGTACAGAGTGCAGGGGTCAGGTTATGTAATGTATGGAGTGCAGGAAACAGGTGTATGTAACATATAAAGGGCAGGGCTTAGGTAATGTACAGAGTACAGGGGTCAGGTGTATGTAGCATTTGTAGTGCAGTGGTTAGGTGTATGTAACCTATGGAGTGCAGGGGTTGGAGTTTGTAAAGTATGAATTGCAGGGGTCTGATATGTAATATATGCAGTGCAGGTGTCAGGTGTATGTAATGTACAGAGTGCAGGGGTCAGGGTATGTCATTTATGGAGTGCTGGAGTCAGGTGTATGTAATGTACAGAATACAGGTGTCAAGGTATGTAATTTATGGAGTGCTGGGGTCAGGTGTATGTAACCTATGGAGCGCAGGAGTATGTAACGTATGGAGTGTGGGGGTCCAGTGTATATAATGTACAGAGTGCAGGGGTCGTGAGTATGTAATGTACAGTGTGCAGGGCTCGGGAGTATGTAATGTACAGAGTGCAGGGATCAGGTGTATGTAACATAGGAAGTGCAGGGGTCAGCGTTTGTAAAGTTGGAAGTGCAGGGGTCGGCCATATGTAACATATAAAGTGAAGGTTTCATCCATATGTAGCGTATAAAGTGCAGGAGTTAGCCATATGTAAAGTATAGAATGCACGGGGCAGGCATATGTAATGCACAGAGTGACGGGTCAGGTGTATGTAACATATTAAGTGCAGGGGTCAGTTGTATATAATCTACAGGGTGCAAGGGTCAGGTGTATGTAATGTATAGAGTGCAGGGATCAGGCATATGTGATGTAAAGAGGGAAGGCATCAGGTGCGTGTATGTAACATACAGAGTAGTGTAGAAGTTAGGTGTATGTAATGTACAGTATTGAGTGCAGTGGTCAGGCTTATGTAACATGCATGTGGAGAGTTGGTGTGTGTTATGTACACATGCATACATAAACACACACACACTATATTTTCTCATCCTGGTGTTCAGCTTTAGGGCTAAGGGTAATGCGGTTATGTTAATAAATTTGTCTGCTAAAGCAATGTGTATTCTAAGGAAATTGCCATTTGTTAAATATACAATACTTCTTTTATAGCACTGCTGGTCTCCTGCAGCCTCTTTGCAGCCATTCCTGTCTACATGCATGCACTCCAGGGTGGATTTGCTGAAGGTGACAACAGTGGAACAGGCCTGCGTAATGTGTGTTGGAACAGTCACCTATAGTCTCCATCAAAAGCCTGTGTGGCAGGGTGACAACACAGGAGCCCAATTGGGAGACAGGGACAGAGCTAAAACTAAACAATACATTTCTGGCTGGAGATGGGCTGCAATCCGAGATCTGTTTGGGAACTCAATTCCTTGTAATTATAAACTCATCAAATATTTGCTCCTGGTACAAAACTTACTTCATGATCATGTGCATGGCATAAAGCAGGGGTGGGCAACTCCAGACCCCAACTGTTGTGGAACTACAAGTCCCATGAGGTATTGAAAGACTGACAGTGACATCCATGACTCCCAGAGGCATGTTGGTATTTGTAGTTACAGCACAGCTATGCCACTCCTGGCATAAGGGGAAACATTTTTGTGTCATCTACCAAAAATCCAATAATGCCCTCAGAGACTTGTAGAAGGTCCTATGAAATGGAATTTGATTTTGATATGACGGAGCTTCCCACATAAAAACCACATTGACATGTTCAACAAAAGGTTTCCTCTCTGCTCCTTGGATTTTTTTCACTGCTATGGTGGAAATCAGATTTTGCATTGACCCCATTAACTGTTAAGAAATCAAATGAATGTCCCAAAAACATTTTTTCCAAGTGAAATTCTAACCATTTATACCCATGAGATATCCTATCAATCCATGTTCCATCTTCACCCTTCTCTCTCATAGCAACACAACCTAGGGGGGATTCAGGAAAACTGGGGCAGACAGATTCTGGAGAAGTTGCCCATGGCAACCAATCAGCTTCTCTCTTTCATTTTTAAAGTTTAACTGAACAAACAGAAGACAGAAGTTGATTGGTTGCTATTGGCAACTGCTCCAGATGCTGCCTGCTCCAGTTTTTATTAATCCCCCCCATTGCTTTCCACATCCACCTTCCAACTCCTATAGTCCCAGGGATTGCCCCAGCCATGGTATTCATATGATATGGAAGGTATGAGCAGTAGTTCCAATCAGTCATGACACTTCTATGATGTGTGATCCTGACTCGGGTCTACAGCCATCAGCCACAAGAGCAGCTCAGTCAGCGCTGTCACCAACACAGCCATGGGGGGGGCGTGTATCTATGGTGGGTGTGGCAAAGCAGGGCGCTTCTCCAATCACAGGCCGGGGGCTGGGCTTCATTGACAAATGGGCGTTGCTGACAGGGGGACCCTTTTGAGCACAGGTAGGCAGATAAGCGAAGTTCTGCGGGAACAGAAGCGACTTTTGTGGCTGCTGCTGCTGGCCGGGGACTCCTTGTAATGTGCCGCAGAGAGATCGCACTGATTTATTCCCGATGACCTGCCGGGGACAACTGTGACCTCCATGAAAACTCCGCCACCACACATGTTATCTGACTTTCCAATACATGGCTATGGACGGGAACGTGTATTCCAGCGGAGAGACACTTCTTCCAGCTTTCAGCAAACTTCCTCTGCAGCGCAAAACTTTATTCATCCACACGTGTAGCCATGCCGGAGAGGGAGAGGTCACTGCCGGAGCACCACATCGTGTCCTGTGAATGTCGGCCGATCTACTACATCACCTGCATCAGATTGGACTGGAAGGAAACCCGCACTGACTCTGAGATCCGCCGTCATCCCGGCTCCTCCGATCTGCCATCTCTTCGTATTTTACACAACGTCCAAAGTTCAGACTGTCTCTACCGACCCAGGGCTGAGGATCTGACCGACACACAGGTACACCGATCCATCACAAATCACAAGATAGAAAGCTTTTCATCCAAGGCGTGCACACCTTTCACCGACAATTCACACGTTTTCCCAATTCAATCCCATTAGAAAAGTGTGTGAACCTAGGGGGAAAGTTGTGTAAATGTTGGGGAAACATGCATTGATTTTGATTTGTTAAAATTACATTTATATAAGTAATTTAAATCCACAGGGATTCACCATTCTATTCCATACATGCATAGATTCCATCATGTATAGGTCTGTTTTTAGAAACTATGAAAAGTTTGTGCTTTTTATTCAAAGTAAAGTGTGTGTGTGTGTGTGTGTGTGTGTGTGTGTGTGTAATATATATTCCACACTTAATAAAAGTGCACTTTTAATAGTTTCTACATAGTAAGTATACACGTGTGTGTGTGTGTGTGTATACCCACACTTTTTTTATTTTTAATAAAACAAATCCACTTGCATTAGTTCCTACATATCGAGTATAACGTAATTGTTTGTGTGTATGTATAAGTGTGTAATATATATTACACTTACACACCAAAGCATTATAAGTGTATTGTTGCTCTTTTTAAAATGACAATGTGTATCTGTGTTTTGAATTACATTACATGTCTATCCTTGCTATTACAGTGTGTGTATGTGTGGTGTGTTTTTTATATATTTTTAGATGATTATTAGATGAGTATCCTTGCCTATTGAAATTACAATGTGTGTGTTTTATATAAAATTTGATGTGTATCCTTGCTGCTATGAAAATAAAAATGTTTGTTTTTATACATTGGCTGTGTATCCTTGCTGTTAGTGTGTGTGTGTGTGTGTGTGTGTGTGTGTGTGTGTGTGTGTGTGTGTGTGTGTGTGTGTGTGTGTGTGTGTGTGGAATTAGAAGTCCCTTGCTATTGTTAAAGCTATAAAAGTAAATTTAAGAATATTCATTTTCTTTTACAGAAAAACATATCTGGAAAGTATCTGTTTCATGAAAACTGCACATCACATGATCCTTTTGATTTTGATGAACAATAACAAATGAATGCGTTTGAATTATTTCAGATGTAAAGAGAAGAAGATTGCCATCTGTAAGGTGAAACGATGGCAACACGGAATCCTGTGATCTTTGTGTTAGGCCTTGTGTGTGTCATGCAGCTCCCTGCACCTGTGTCTATGGCCTCCAAAGCAATTGTCTGCCAAGAGATCACAGTTCCCATGTGCAAAGGCATTGGATATAATTTCACCTACATGCCCAATCAGTTTAATCATGACACTCAAGATGAAGCTGGCTTGGAAGTTCATCAGTTTTGGCCTTTGGTGGAAATTCAATGTTCGCCTGACCTGAAATTTTTCTTGTGTAGCATGTATACACCCATTTGCCTGGCTGACTATAAGAAACCTTTGCCACCCTGTAGGTCGGTCTGTGAGAGAGCAAAAGCAGGTTGTTCTCCACTTATGAGGCAATATGGTTTTGCTTGGCCGGAGAGAATGAATTGTGACAAACTTCCTCAGAACGGAGACCCAGAAAATCTGTGTATGGATTATAATAGGACAGAGACCACAACACACCCACCTTCCTTTGTCAAATCTACATACCCACCAAGGGGATCAAAACACTTGACTCCAAACAGGCAGCCAAACAGTGACTGTGATGGATTATGTAAATGCAGGGAACCTTTCTACTCCATAACAAAAGAATCCCATCCGCTGTATAACAGGGTCAAAACTGGCCAGGTGCTGAACTGCGCTGTGCCATGTTTCCAGCCCTATTTCACTCAGGATGAGAAGACATTTGCTACCTTCTGGATAGGCTTGTGGTCCATCCTCTGTTTCATCTCAACCTTTACTACTGTTGCCACATTTCTGATTGACATGGAGAGATTTAGATACCCAGAACGTCCCATCATCTTTCTATCTGCTTGCTATCTTTTTGTATCCATCGGCTATATTGTCAGACTTCTAGTGGGGCATGAAAACGTTGCCTGCAACAGGGACTACATTCATTATGAGACAACAGGACCAGCACTCTGCACAATAGTATTTCTACTTGTTTACTTCTTTGGAATGGCCAGTTCCATTTGGTGGGTCATCTTGTCCTTCACCTGGTTCTTGGCTGCCGGCATGAAGTGGGGCAATGAGGCCATTGCCAGCTACTCTCAGTATTTCCATATGGCTGCATGGTTGATACCAAGCGTCAAATCCATCGCCGTCCTCGCTTTAAGTTCGGTGGATGGTGACCCGGTGGCCGGAATCTGCTACGTAGGTAACCAAAACCTAGACAATCTTCGTGGTTTTGTGCTGGCTCCACTAGTAGTTTACCTTTTCACAGGAACAATGTTTCTCCTTGCAGGATTTGTGTCACTCTTCAGAATTAGGAGTGTAATAAAACAAGGTGGCACCAAAACTGATAAACTGGAAAAACTGATGATCAGAATAGGTATATTTACCGTACTGTACACTGTACCCGCAACCATTGTTGTTGCCTGCTATATATACGAACAGCACTACAGAGAATTCTGGGAAAAATCCCACAACTGCTCTTGTCCTGGGGACAAAAAGAGAGCCAGGCCTGATTATGCGGTTTTCATGTTAAAGTACTTTATGTGCCTATTGGTGGGAATAACCTCGGGCGTATGGATCTGGTCAGGAAAAACATTGGAGTCTTGGAGGAGGGTCACAGGCAGATGTTGCAGAAGCAGTAAATCTATCAATGCCTTAGCATTTAGAGAAGCCAGCACGGCACTAACAGCAAGGACTGGCTTGCCAAGTTCAGCTTTATACCACAAGCAAGTGCCATTATCTCATGTTTGATTGGGTGTTTCTTGCACTGTATAACTTACTGACTGCAAAAGATGAATGGGTCCTACAGGCGCCTCCTTTTATGTCTCTGCCGTGCTACTGTTTACGTTGTACTCTTGACAATTTGTACGTTTACTTGTGTAGAACCATAACATTAGCGGTAGATATCGTACCACCTTCTTGCAGATGTTTCTTGTTCTAAGAGCCCTTTCTCAAAGGAACTTTTGCATGATCTCTAGTGATGGTGCAGAATATAGTTGTGTTCGTGACATCAGGAGGCCACAATATACCGTAATGTACCCTGTTTGTTTCCAAAATACAGTTTTAATACAAATTAAGATGTGATTAAAAAAAAGGTTACCACTAAAGAAGGGCAGGCCAGTCACTCCATAAGGATTCTGCATACGTGGGTGCTTGGCAAGTTCCAGGTTAGATGAACATGTAAAATTATATTTGTGACAGGTTGAAAGAACTTAACATTCTACATGTTAAAGGTGGATATTGTACACTGAAATATCCTCTGGCCCACATTAGCAAGTCTGCTTTATTACAATTAAATTTAAAAAAGATATTTAAATGACTCAGTTGTCAATGTTATACCTTTTACCATTTGTTTTGAACCAAGATGAAAATTAGCTTTTCAGGGACTAAATCATATAATTGCAGATAATTATATGTCTCTGTGCAAAATGTATTTTTTTTTTGGTTTTTTTTCCCTTCGTCTTTTGTACATCATGCTAAATGATCCCTTCCTAAATCATATGGATCTTACGGTCACCATTTGTTTTAAGTTGGGTTGGATGGAAGTGCTAACGTTTCATGGGCACAAGTAGCAACAGCGACACCTAAAGGTTTTAGTCGGTACTACCCTACAAAAAACAATTGTGCATAATTCACAGTGATGAGTAATATCCAACAAAGGGTCCAGCACAGGTCATGTCATTTATGCCGGGGTTTTATTTTTCTTTACACATTTTTGGCGAACATACCACATAATGTTCAATCAATTCCTAGACCCTCTTTCTAGGCACAAACAGAGGGGGTAGTTTTCAAAATATGCTAATGTAGTCTCATAGCGAGACTATATCAAATCAGAATCCATAGCTTTGTTTACCCCCAAAAGGGACTTAAGTAGGCTGACCTGGGTTTGCGTGTTTAGGCGTGCAACGGCTTTGCCAGCAACCTCGTGACAATCTTTTCAAGACTGTAGCATTTTGCATGCTGAAAAACTGGTCACTGTGTCCTGTTCTAGTATTTGTTTTGTGATTCTTTGTGTACGAAGTGTCAGTCCCACCTTCTTTATGTATACAGCGATAAAAGGCCCTTGTGAATTCCTTGTTGTTTTTTTTTACTTTGCAGGATGGCTGTATAACAGACGCCATGCTGATGATTTGATGACGCCAGTCAGTATAAAGAGTCCTGTGGATACAGGAGAAATTATACTGTGTGACTTTTACACTATGGCACAAAATTAATAAAATTTAGGGATAAATCATCTTAAATTTTAAGGCATGCCAAGTTTGCTGTTAAACAAGCAACATCTGACAATTGTATTTCGCACTTGTTTTGTGGAGTATAGCTTAAGTAAGTAGAGCTAACAAATCATATTTCACTGCCGAGAGATAAAAGCCAACAGCTGCCCTTTTTAATATTTTTTATAAATTAGTGTAATTAAAGGAAATAGTTGAATTCTCATCACAGTTTGTTTAGCTATTACATTTATGTAACGATTTATTGCGGCAAAAGAACACAGCTATTTAACTTGTTTGTTAAAAAAAAAAAAAAAGCTGCACGTACTTTATGTAAAGTAATATTTAAAGTCAAAAGGTTTTTAAAGTAATTAAAATGCTGATTTAATCCCTTTTTAATTGAATGCTGCTCCTTGATGTTTAAAAGTTTGTTTCCTGCAGAATCGGCTAGTCCCCTGAACACTGGCCCTAATATCCTGCTTTATGGTGGCTCCTTTTCCTTGCAGGGTCCTATGGAACTACCCTTGTATGCAATAGTAAGCTGTGTGTGTCTCCACAGGCACAGCAGGACAAGTCACTTCTCTTCCCCCTGCTTCCCTCTCCTCCTTACGCCCTCCTCCAAGCTAATATATTGACAGCTGCTGGAGACTGCTTTGTCCCCTGTGATTATATACTGGACAGCAAGTTCAGGGAAGTGGAGCTGAGAGAGTTAAGAGTCAGCTGTTTGGAAACATGATGACTGTACTTGGGCAAAAAAGTAAAGAAATACATTACTACATAACATTTTTAGGATATTTTAGATTTAACTGCATACGATTTTTCTAGCCTATGTGCCACTGTGATAAGGTTGTTTCACCATGAATATTTTCCATTTGCAGTACTTTAAGTTTGTTATTAATGTGTTCCAACTCAAGACTGTGTGCTGTTGAAGAATTTACCAATTACCTTATTAAGAGTTGACATTTCTGAGCTAAGACATCAGGTAAAGCAAATAGATCCCAGCATTAAAAAAAAAAAAAAGAATGTGAAATGCCAAATGAATTGGCTGTTTCGGTCTTGCGTTCACATGCTCTGCTTAAGGAACTTGATAAGCTGCATAGGCTCTTCAGTCCTCTCCTGTTTGACAATGGCAAACAAGCAGAGCCCATTGTGCAAGATATATGGCATCTTTGCGTGATTTGCCAAAAAGGTAATTAATGGGAGTGCAATGATTTTAAAACACGTTGATAATAAATTGGCCTAAAAAGTCAGGGGCCGTAGTTAGAAGAATTTTAGAAGTTGATGTATTGTCATTAACAGATCTGGCGTTCTGCACCTTTAGCAGCAGTCGGTAAATGTTTTAGTTCTGTTCAACACTGTTCAAGCCTGCATGTGCTGTGGGAACCTGTGTGGATAGAAATATGGAATCTGCCATTACTAAGGCGATCACAGGGTTAGATGTCACCTAAAGTCTAAAGGTTGTTGGCTTGTCGGCTGCTTGACCTTACATGCAGTCTACCCTCTTTCAGTTGTATAGTGTTTGAGGTCGGTCAGGTAGTTGACAGGTAACAACTGTCAGACCTCAGCAGACCCTCCAGAGGATAAGACAAAGCAGTAAAGCTAAATAAAAGGCAGGCTTTCACAATTATAATTCAAAAAGACTGACTATTCTGATTTCCTTATTAGCCCAATTGTTACTGCAAGGATATGTCTTAGTTTAGAAACTAAAATTGTTCTTGGACTGCTCCTGACATATTCACAAAATAGAGACTGAACCAATAACCAGGGAAAATCAGCCTATCTATTTTCTGCCACGTATAGGTGCATATTGTGTAGGAAATATCTCCATGAACTCAGTGTAAGTGGATGACTGACTATATACCTCTCCGGTTTGACAGTTCATTGGATTGCAAAGAGGATATGTAGACAATTAGAACTGATATCAACTGTGTTTGCCACATGGGCTCTTAAATTGTTTTACAGATACTAATTTGTTCTAATGAGGTCCCCCAACCTAATGCAGCTCTTCAGATGGCCAACAAAGAATGGCGCAATGCACCGGTGTCTGCTTCAGACGTGTACAATGTGGTGACTTCAAACAATCAGCACTTCAGTGCCACTGATCCATTGATAAATACAGCACCAACCTACTGTAAGCAGCTGTGTCTGTCTCTAGTTACAACGTAACCAAAGATGAAGGCAATGGTAAACCTTCTCAGATAAAAACACAAAAGTAAAGATCGCTTAGTACATCAAAGTCGCTGCATATCTTTTATGCAGATCAGTATTTAATATGTCTGGTAGGAAAAACTCTAGAGGTTAATACCAGGAATAAAAATAGGAGACTTTTTCTAGATATATGAAATTGTTATCACTGCCTTTTTGTGACGGTCATTCAGGTTTTATTTTTTTCTGAATCGTGTTAGAGAACCATCATACATTGTATATACACATTTTAACCATTTAAAAAAAAAAACATTAAAGGGAATTTAGCACTAACAAAATGTTGGCGATTTACAAAAAAAAAAGGTGTCAAAGCTGCTTATTTTCTACAAATGTTTATTTGGTGATAACAAAATGAATTGAAGGTGAAAGGGAGTTCTGCATTGTCTCCTGTCTTATCTACAGTTGTGTAATTTGGCTGTACATGGGAACAATATGCTTTAAATATATTTTTTTGCCGTGAAACATTCATACTAAAAAAGCAGTAAAAACACCAATGGGAACGCAGAAAGTGTAGTAGCTCATAGCAGCCAATCAGAACCCATCTGAATCCAGTTGCTGTGGGTCCTGTACTTTGCATATCATCATTGCTGTTGGTACTGCACTATAGAATATCCAGACTGTACTTTGTATAGAAGTAAAACTGCAATGAAATTATTTAATCCACAGAAGTGATTTTTCTCAAATCCTGATAAAAATCGACTTTTGAGTACTGTTGCTTTTTGGACTGTAATTACTAATTAAAATAACCTTGTAGCATTGCCATACACAAAAAACTAGGATGGTGTGTTCTTAGGACAAAGGTGGACAACTTCTGCCCTCCAGCTGTTGTGGAACTACAAGTCCCGTGAGGCACTGCAAGACTGACAGTTACAGGCATGACTCCCAAGGGAAGAAGCATGTTGGGATTTGTAGTTAAAGCATAGGTGGAGGGCCAGAGTTGTACACCCCTGGCTTAGGAGGTACCTTAGGGTGCCACCGCTGCCTATTTGGTAAAACCCTGGCCTCAAGATTGCCACTGGAATTTCCCAGCATAGGGGGGGGGGGGGTACACCTCTTCTACCTCCCATAGCGCATTGATGAGCGACTCAGCAAATTATTGTTGAGTAGAAGATGATATGTCTAGCGGTAGACAAATACTAAGTTTTAAGAAGAGTATTTGGAAATGGACTTCAGGGAAGGCTGATGAGAATATGGGGAACTGATTTGTTACAATACAGATACGCTGTGGTACTACATTATGGTGCATGTTAGCTACCTGCAGTCTTTTTTATTTGTGTATGGTTGTGCTACTAGTTTAAGTCCCGCTGTGTTGTCTTTTATTGTGAACAGGATATAAAGTTATTAAGCTACTGGATAATGGAATATATGTATAATGTACACAAATGTAACGATTTAACTGAAAATGTTTCTACATTCATCATGCCACTTCGTATCAATATCACACCGAGATGGTAGAGTTTTATCTGA